AAAAACGGTCCAGTCATTTAACACTGCTGACGTTTGCTTTCAATAACTCAGAAAAGGATAAAAAGTGATAACGTGAATGACACACAGTGAAACTTAGGCAATGGGGACGCCTGGTGGTGAAACACGCGACATAACAAGACTAACCACCAAATGGGTGGTCATGGTGTGGAGTCACAGAGCAATGAAGCACCCACCACAGACCATGACAGCCCTGACAAGATGTAAAAGGCATGCAAAATTGTGCTACATCGAAATCGCTATTTGATATAATGCAATTTGTAATCTCATCCTTCCTACAGTCTCTGTTACAATATATTTTTATACTTAAGTTAACTAAACTACACCTGCAAAATTTTGACCAAAATTAACTGCAGTTCTGTGTTACCACCACTAAATGTCAGTATACAACCATATTTAACTCTACATCAAAGCAACAGACACATAATTTACCATAAGATTTCATTGGTTATTGGCTTTTTTTGTTACAAGAACCATTATTTGGAAGATAAATACAGTGTTTAACCTTTTTTTATTTTTTTTTATCCACCTTACAAAATAGCCTCACCTCCTTTTAGAAAGACTTACAAAAGAGAGAGACAAAGAGAGAGAAAGAGAGGGGGGGGTGGACTTCTGTGCCTCCGTCATCGCACAAAGAAAGCCAAGTGCTTTCACAATCAGCATTTTCACTTAGGACCACTCACTTCTCTTTCTTTGTCAATACTAGATGAAGCCTTTATAAAGCAGAGACATGACTCAACAAGCTGAATTAAAATCTATGTAAGAACTTGGAAGATCCATGAATTTAAGTAAAAACAACAACAACAAGAAGAAGAAATGCCCAATAAGAGCACAGCAGTATTTCAAGATAGCTGTTTAATAAGGACTTGATTCTTTTCTCTGTCATGTTTTACTTTCTTTTCATTTTATGCACCACATTCAAGAGTCTTTATTGTCATTGTGGAAGCATAATGAAAATATGGTTATAATCCCTCACATGGTGCTACTCCAAACTTTTTTTTTTAAAATTTATGTTTACATTCAGAGGCAGAAATGCTGGTGTATTTTGGATCATTGTAATGTCATATAACCCTAGTGCACTTCAGGAAGTGATGGTCAGAAGCTTTTCTTCAGGAGTTTTTGGTAGAGAGCAGAATTTATGGTTCCATTAGTTATGGGAAGTCATCCAGGTCTTGAAGCAGGAAAGCAGCCCCAGGCCATCACAATACCACCAACATGTTTGCTGTTATGATGCTCTATTTTTTTTAATGCCAGAAGTAACGGGACATAAAACCTCCCAAAGTTCAAATTTTGGCCTGTCAGTCCACAGAATATTTTAAGTCTTGGAGATCATCAAGATTTATTTTTTAAAATAATTGTGTTCTTTTTGGTAAGCAGCGAATTTCACTCTCCCATGGATGCCATTTTTGCTCAGTCTCTTTCTTATTTGTTAGTTATTGAGTTATTGAAACATGAACACTGACCTTAAGTGAGGCAAGTGAGGACTGTAGTTCCTTAGATGCTGTTCTGGGTTCTTTGTTGACCTCCCGGATGAGTCATTGATGTGCTTTTTGAGGTTTTTTTGTAGACTGGCCTTTCCCGGGAAGGTTCATCATTGTTATAAATTTTCTCACCAAGGTTCGCTGAAGTCCCAAACCCTTAGAAATTGCTTTGCAACCCTTTCCAGAACTAATAAACCTCAATGATTTTATTTCTTAGCTCTTTCTTTAGATCATGGCAGGATGTGTTGCTTTTGAGATCTTTTAGTCTACTTCACTGATTTCTTGATTTATCAGGCCTGGCAGTAATCAGGCCTGTGTATGAATGGAACTGTAGCTAAATCTCTCTGT